CATTTTTACTCCAAGGTTGGAGATTACAGAGGATACATTAGGTGAGAGATAGTTGAGGTCAGGTTGTTGAGTTGCCGTGATACTGTTAGGACTGAAAACGATTAAGTCAGTTTTGGAGTCATTGAGATGGAGGAAGTTGTCAGCTAGCCATTGCTTGACCTCAAGGATACAATCAGACAGAACTTGCGTTGACTGAGTTGGCTTAAATGAAAAGTAGATTTGACAGTCATCAGCGTAAAGATGGTATGAGACAGCGTGCTTTCTGAAAATGGCTCCTAAGGGCAGTATATAGAGGTTGAACAGTAACGGGCCGAGGATTGAACCTTGTGGGACACCCCAACGTAGAGGATGTGACTCTGATGAACAGCCGTCCAACATGACCCTAGCAGACCTGTTATAAAAGTATGACCTAAACCAATCCAGGGCAGTGCCTGAAATGCCAGCCCAAGTGTGAAGTCTTGTGATCAAAATGTCATGATCGATCGTTTCGAATGCTGCAGATAGATCCAAAAGTACCAGAACCACATGGAAACCTGAATCTAAAGCCAGAAAAATGTCATTAAACACCCGAACGTGAGCAGTTTCAGTGCTGTGCTGTTGTCTAAAACCAGACTGACAGGTGTCCATTACCTGATATTCATTTAGATGGTTCACCAACTGTGCATAGACTACTTTCTCAAGGACCTTAGATAAAAACGGTAATTTGGAAATTGGTCAGAGATTAGAGTAATCGGTGGGATCGAGGCCGGGTTTTTTCAAGATTGGTTGTAGAACAGCGTGTTTAAAGGCACGAGGAACTTCAGCCAATGTCAAGCTACAATTTATAATGCGTAGCACGTTATTGCTAATTAAAGGAAACACCTCTTTCAGGAGTCGAGGTGGGATAACATCATCTGGGGAGCCAGAGGGTTTCATGGCTGCAACAGTTTTTTCTAGACAGGCCAAAGAGATGGGCTGAAAGCTTTGAAGTTGCCCGTGAGAGGGGATAAATGAATCTGGAACATGGTTGGTTTGGTGAATCTGAGCTCTGATTACAGTAATCTTATTTAAGAAAAACTACAGGATTTGGCTACACAAGTCAGCGGACACAGAGGAAAATAGATTTTGAACTGGGGAAAGCACTGCATTTATGGTTTTATATAACACACCTTGATTGTTTGAATTAGCCGTGACAATGCTGGCAAAAAATCTATTTCTCGCTCCTCTGACTACTTTTTGATACTGAGACCAAGCCTCTCTCATGGCCTCAAAGGATACAGTAAGCCTGTCTTTTATCCATTTACGTTCCAGTCTCCTGCAATTTCGTCTCATTTACTATCCACAAAAGCAGCCGTTTATATTAAAGCCCAGACTCTCCTCTTTGCAGTAATATAAGTACCATTACTCTACCAGCAAAACTTGTGGAACTAGGCAGCAAAGCAAACAAAGCTAATTTCATGAAGTCAAAAGAGTGAATTTTGTCTTACCGTAGCAGTTTTTTTGTCAAAAATAGTGTTATAGTATAAAAAGCACTTGGTTTGTGTAATCCAATGTTCCAATGTCACACTGAGCAGATTTCTGACTGTCTTGTTCTTTTGTTAACAGCTGGAGGAATAGTCTCTAAAGCCACATATAACAATTTTCCGGTTCTTCATAATAATAATAAAAAAAAAAAATACTCCACGAGTTGTACTCAGCTGCTCTACAACAACAAAGAACGGTAAACTGTGGAGAATTTCCAGTTCTGATCTGAGCTGAGAATCCGGCCAGCCGGTCTTCTGGGCATGTCTTTGCATGCGTTATATCTCTACGCTCAAAGGCTCTTCTTTTCTTTGTATGGGGGGGGGGCACAGTTAGGTGGAAGAGATTGTTGCGCCCAAAAGTATCAGGAAACGTGTCCCAAGAAGATTCATTGTGGTAAAAGTGTAAATAACATTTTTAAAATACAACTAAATATAAAATATAAATATGATATTTTGCAAAATAACAAAATGATGAACCTTCCGGACTGGAAAAGTAAAGGAATCCTATACCTGGAATACATAAGGATTGGACTTCATGCCATCTAACAGAACAGTCCCCCAATTTGGGATAGATAAGAATAGCTTTATAGAATATCACCAAATTAAAGTTGTAGTTAAATAAAAATGTATGCTTAACAAAGTAGAATTACAAAAACCACCAAGGGTACTAGACTTCTGTAATCTCAAACACTGCAGAGTACACTATTCAGGTCATCCGATGTTCAGGAAGGGGTTTGTGTTTGACACCTGTACACACTGCACAAACAACATTCCTGACAATTATATCCACACACTGTGGTCCTGTCCACTTGTTCAGGAATTTTGTGGTAGATTATGTGAGGGCCTGTCAAAGTGTCTGAAATGTCTTATCCCAACTTCCCCTCTATTTGTTTGCTGGGAAATCTGGATGATGTCCCGATTGAAACAACTTTGGTTCACGTGGTTTTGACTGCCACATACATCACTAAGAGAACTATCCTCATAAATGGAAAAAGAGATACTATTTGCATTAACAAGTATAGAAATCTTTTGTTAGATCATATTACACTTGAGACAGCCTCTGCCATTACTTCAAATCAAACTCTCTGGGCTCCTTTGATCAGTTCCATCACATAACGATGATGGGGGTCATTGATATTGTCCTGCGAGATGATGTGGGTGATGTGGTGGAGGGTCTGAGTTTTGAGTATCCAGATATTCCCTGGAGGTGGGTTCACTGCGGGGAGGGGTCTGGGGCTGGGGGGGGGGGCTGCTGCCCCGCCCTGGAGGTGCTTGGGTTGCCTCAGGGGGTAGATTACTGGCTGTTGTGAGTGGGGCTCCTTGGGGGGCCTTGGTGGTGGCCATGGGTTACTGCCCGGTGGCCGGCCCCGTGTGGGGATCTGGGCGGGGCATTGAAGATTGGGTCCTGACTTGCCGGGAAGAAGGCGGGAACACGTGGCAGTGCCTGGCCCAGGCTCAGGCGGCCTCAGGTGGACCTTGGCTCCTCTGAAATAACAATTCTGGCCCTTCACGGGGGAGGGGGGATGGAGGAATCCAGGGTGAGAGCTGGGTCAAAGGTCATGCCAAGATTCCTGACAGAAGGTTTGGTGTGAGAGGCAAGCTGACCAAGAGAGTCTCTGACTTTGGGAACCAGCTTGTCTGGGGCACAGATGAGGATCTCAGTCTCATCTTCATTCAGCTGTAGAAAGCTCCCAGCCATCTAGGTTTTGGTAGAGTCTAAGCAGGTGTGTAACAGCTGCAGCTTAGACATCTCATGGGGCTTAAAGGAGATGTACAGTTGGATGTCATCTGCATAAAGATGGTAGGAGATTCCTTTGAAGGAGCTCAGGATGTGCTGAAGAGGAAGCAGACAGAGGAAGAGCAGAGGCCCCAGCACAGAACCTTGTGGGACACCATGGGTAAGAGAGGTGGTGGAGGACCTAAACTTGGAGACGGCCACAGAGAAGGAACGCTCAGACAGATGAGAGGAGAACCACTCCAGAGCAGATCCTGATAGGCCTACCCAGTCTCTCAGCCTCTCCAGTAGCAGGTGATGGTCAACAGTGTCAAAGGCTGCAGTCAGGTCCAGCAGGACCAGAACAGAACAGTCCTCTGCATCACTGTGAGTCAGAAGGTCATTAGAGACCCTAAGAAGAGCTGTTTCAGTAGAATGAGCTCTACGAAAACCTGACTGGAAGCTATCATAGATGTTATGTTCATCAAGAGCAGCTGTGAGTTGTTTAGCCACAACCTTTTCAAAGATCTTGGAGATGAACAGAAGTTTAGAGATGGGTCTGAAGCTGCTATGAAGAGAGGGGTCGAGACTCGGTTGTTTGAGAAGCGGGTGGATTACAGAGTTCTTAAAGTAAGCAGGAACCTGGCCAGAAACCAGAGAAGCATTAATTATAGAGCGCACGCTGGGACCGATGGACTGAAAAGCACTTTTAAACAAAGATGAGGGCAAGATGTTGAGGGGGCATGCAGAGGTCTTCATAGAGTTAACTAGTTTGGTTAACTCAGGCAAAGAAACAGGAGCAAAGCTATCTAGGATGATGGGCCTGGTTGGAGTCGGGAGAGGCAGCGATAAGGCTGAAGGAGAGATGCTAGATCTAACCTTATTGACTTTGTCCACAAAGAAAGACAGAAAGTTCTCACAGTCTGCAACAGAGTGGATGGAGGCTGTAGGAGAGGCAGGAGAGACGATGCTGCTGATGGTGTTAAACAGCACCTTGGGGTTCCCTTTGCTCTCGGACATCAGGTTGGAAAAATAGGAAACCCTCGCGTCTCTGACTGCAGAGTTAAAGGATGTCAAAAGATCCTTTAGGTGCAGCAGATGGATGTGGAGATGGGTTTTCTTCCACAAACACTCAAACTTTCTGCAATGGCGCCTCAGGCTTAAAAGGCTGTCATTAAACCAGGGAGTAGGGTTCACTGCAGGAACTGATCTGGTTCTGACAGGACAGATGTTGTCCAGAATAGAGAGGCAGTGCTCATTAAACTGAGAAGTTAAGGAATCTGGGTCGTTACCAGAAGAACAGGGTGGATCAAAAGCAGCGGAAAATTTGCTAACTGTGCTCTCATTAAGAAAACGAGAACATTACAATATAAAGTCTCGGACTAGATCTGCTGCTCCTCCACACTGCAAGGAGCCAGTTGAGGTGGCTCGGTCATCTGGTCAGGATGCATCCTGAATGCCTCCTACTGAGGTCTTCTGGGTATGTCAGATCGGGAGGAGACCTAAAGGAAGACCCAGGACATTCTGGAGGGAATATGTGTCTTGGCTAGGCTGGGAATGCCTTGGTATTCCTCTGAAGGAGCTGGCCCAAGTGGCTGGGAAGAAGGAAGTCTGCACTTCTCTGCTTATGCGGATGGCCCTGCGACCCGTACCAACCCCAGATAAGTGCAGGCAAATGGATAGGTGGTTGGAAGCGACAACATCTACACTCGCTCAGTTGACTAATGACATTTCATTTAGACAGAATTGATGCATGAAGAAAAAACTTTAAGAACATTCTGTACCTTATAGTAAAACGTCTCCTGGCATCTAAGTCTTGATGATCCAGGTAATCTGTAAGGGAGGAAAGACATTTTTATTATAAGGAGACAACTATTGCAATTTCAAAAGCCTGATTTATACTTCTCCGTGAGTACGTATATGACCTAATTCTAAAAAAATGGTCAAATCCAGTAGTTGATGTACCACACCCCACTGTTACATTCCCAGGGGTCTGTAAATAGAGCAGGGAGGATTCTGCCTGTTTTTCCTCTAATTTGCCCTCTTCACCAACATCCCCACCAAATACCAAAGACCCGGAAATATGTCCGCTACCCGATTCCCCTACCATTTGGCCTGCCTTTGTCACCCGACAATGGACAACAGCGTCCGGGGTCAAAGATTTTTTGTAAACAAAGCTGATAATCATTTTCACTTTTAAATCTTGTGTTACTGTTCCTTCTTTTTTTTACACGAGCCAAAATCCCCAGGAAGGGTCGTAACACCACGTGCCAAATGCACGTCAGTGATCAAAAGAAAGCAGCATGAGAATTAAACTCCGTCTCCAACCACCTGTCAGGCTCAGCAGGCTGCACTCCCAAGCTCTACATGTCACCAGAACAAAACCTGTCATAACACAATAATACTGCTTCCATTTTAAATGGACGTCTGGTTTAGTCGTTTACAGTGCCAATTTATTAAAACTTTCTGGGGTATTTGAGATTTTATGGTTTTATTAATCGTGCAACAGAAAAATAATCAGATCATTTAATTAGTCATTACAATATGGCAATGGACAAGTTTGTTATGTGCACACCCAGGGTCCAAATAAAAATTTTTACTCACCGGCCAAGTTGGCTGGAATATCATGAAAATCTACCAGCCAAGAATATTTTTTACCGGCCAAAATTCTAAATGATTTAGATCTACCTAAAGCATGTTATTTTATATTATGTTGATTCCAAACAGAGTGACAAAATAATTAAAACATCAATTAATGAGAAAAACAACTCTTTTGTCATTTTTACTATTTATTTATTTATTTATTTTTAGAGATGTTTTTATGAACTCTTTCATTGAAATCTAGTCAGACTCCTTGTTTTCTCTGTCCATGAAGTCTGACCTCTTGCTTCTGACACAGTCTTTGTGCCAAAGCATTACAGCCTCATTTGGGTCATAGTCCTATATCTCTGGAGAACACAGCTGCACTATGAGAATATCTGAAAGTGTGTCAGGGCTAGGGTTGTTACAGTAACCTGTGTAGTGGTAAACCCCAGAAAAAATGTTGACAATAATAATAACCGTCCTGTTTTTTAAAAAGTATATTATCTCAGTGGATTACCATGGCTGTGGTGTAGGCGCAGTGACCCTTACCAGCCACCGTATCATCTGCTGAAGTTGCCGGCGGCCCATGCGCACTTTGTTAACAGCCAAAACTTTCTTGAAGCTAAAGCTGAAATAATGGCCAAAGGAGGAGATGGCAGCGCGCAGGACATTTATTATCCCTCAAAGAAGACAACATCGGAAGTATGGGCATTTTTTGGATATTTGAAGAATGCCGAGGGACAGTTGATAGAAGACGGCTATCCTGATTGCAGCACGTGCAGAAAAAGTGTCTGTGAAAGGCAGCAACGCTTCAAATCTCATGACACATCTGATGACCATCACCCACAACTCTACAGTCAACGCAAGGCAAGTTAACGTTAGCGTTTTAGCTAAAATGCGTGATCCGAGGATTTGGGTTGAGGGAGAATGGGTTGGGTTGGCATTAGTCGCCATCCGTGTCAGCTGCTGCTTACATACAGTTGTGGTCAGAAGTTTACATACACTTGTAAAAAATATAATATAATGGCTCTACTGAGTGTCCCGTTATTTCTAAAACTGATTTTTCTCTGATAGAGTGATTGAAACAGATACTTCTTTGTCACAAAAAACATTCATGAAGTGTGGTTCTTTAATGTCTTTATTATGGGTTAACAGAGAAAAGTGATCACATTTGCTGGGTCACAAATATACATACAGCAACATGAACTAGCAATTTTGGTGACTTAGAAACGTGTCAGTGAACTGAGCTTCATAGCATGGCCTTTTAACTTCTTGTGAGTGATTATGAGTGACTACAGCTGGTGACTTCTCTTAGGCCAGGTAAATAGGGCTCATTGGATACAAACGCCCACAAACGCTACAATGGGAAAGTCAAAGGAGCTCAGCATGGATCTGAAAAAGCGAATTATTGACTTGAACAAGTCAGGAAAGTCACTTGGGGCCATTTCAAAGCAGCTGCAGGTCCCAAGAGCAACAGTGCAAACAATTGTTTGTAAGTATAAGGTGCATGGCACTGTTTCATCACTGCCAAGATCAGGAAGAAAATGCAAGCTATCACCTGCTGCTGAGAGAAAATTGGTCAGGAGGGTAAAGAGTGAACCAAGAATCACCAAAAAGCAGATCTGCCAAGAATTAGAAGCTGCTGGAACACAGGTGTCATTGTCCACAGTCAAACGTGTTTTGCATCTCCATGGACTGAGAGGCTGCCGTGCAAGAAGGAAGCCCTTGCTCTAAAAGCGGCACCTTAAGGCTCGACTGAAGTTTGCTGCTGATCACATGGACAAAGATAAGACCTTCTGGAGGAAAGTTCTGTGGTCAGACAAAACGAAAATCGAGCTTTTTGGCCACAATGCCCAGCAATATGTTTGGAGGAGAAAAGGTGAGGCCTTTAACCCCAAGAACACCATGCCTACAGTCAAGCATGGTGGTGGGAATATTATGCTGTGGGGCTGTTTTGCTGCCAATGGAACTGGTGCTTTACAGAGAGTAAATGGGATAATGGAGGATTACCTTCACATTCTTCAACATAACCTAAAATCATCAGCACGAAGGTTGGGTCTTGGGCGCAGTTGGGTGTTCCAGCAGGACAATGACCCCAAACACACATCAAAAGTGGTAAAGGAATGGCTAAATCAGGCTAGAATAAGGGTTTTAGAATGGACTTCCCAAAGTCCTGACTTAAACCCCATTGAAAACATGTGGACAGTGCTGAAGAAACAAGTCCATGTCAGAAAGCCATCAAATTTAACTGAACTTACCAATTCTGTCAAGAGGAGTGGTCAAAGATTCAACCAGAAGCTTGTGGATGGCTACCAAAAGCGCCTAATATAAGTGAAAATGGCTAAGGGACATGTAACCAAATATTAGCACTGCTGTATGTATATTTGTGACCCAGCAAATGTGATCACTTTTCTCTGTTAACCCATAATAAAGACATTAAAGAACCGAACTTCATGAATGTTTTTTGTGACAAAGAAGTATCTGTTCCAATCACTCTATCAGAGAAAAATCTGAGTTTTAGAAATAATGGGACACTCAGTAGAGCCATTATATTATATTTTTTACAAGTGTATGTAAACTTCTGACCACAACTGTAAGTCGAGGAACATGTGTGCTATTGCCACTCCAGCTCAGCATTTCGATCAGACTCACCGGAGAAATAACTCATCATGGCGAGTCGGCAATGGAGCTCAAAGGTTTGGGAGCATTTTATTAAACAATTGAGAAGAAAGTAGAGTTCAAACTGTAAGGTGAAAGTCTCGTTTCAAGGTGGCACATCGGCGATGCACAAGCATTTTAAATGGATGAAGGGGAAGAAACTTTTTGTGGCAAGAGGTTGTGGTTTGAATGGATTTCAGTCTCCTGCCAGATAGGAGTGAGTCAAAGAGACTGTGTCCAGGGTAAGACGGGTGAGCTGAGATCCAACCTGCACACCTGTCTTGGAGGTGTACAGGTCCTATATAGAGGGGAGTTTGCAGCCAATAACATTCTCAGCAGGGTGCATGACACACTGCAGTCTTTTCATGTCCCTGATGCTGGCTCCAGCATACCACACGGTGAATGAAGAGATGAGGATGAACTTGATGATTGCTGTGTTAAAGTAACTCATGGACTGTACTGATAGGTAGAATTTCTTCAACTGCCTCAGGAAGTACATCCTCTGCTGGGCCTTTTTTTATGACGCAGGTGACGGTGGGCTCCTACTTGAGGTCCTGGGTGATGGTGGTACCTAGGAAGCGACATGAGTCCACCATCATGATGTAATGTATGACAGCCTTGCCTCCGTTGACAAGCCCCTGGGAGAGCACTGACTACATTGTAGCTCATCACCACCAGGATGTGAATGTGAATAGATAAGTGCCCAACACAGATGGCTACAGGTTGGATAATACGAGTACAAGTCTGCCAATTTTTGAACCTTCAATCCATGGGATGACTTTGTACAACATGCACAGATGGGCATCCGCACATTTGAACTTTGTGTTTAATTTGGCCAAACTGTGACTTGCGGAGATGCACACTGTGTTCAACAAAACACCCATTGGGCAGCTGCTGGGCAGGCCATTCTTCCCAATCGCATCCCTCCAGGACATGGCTAATCTATGTAAAATGGCGGTCTGCCACTACGTCCTCATCTCCAATAGACAGCGCCAGTCCACAGGGCATCTACGTATCTGTGGTGCAAAGAAACTGTGAAATAATTAAATACATCATGCTAGATTAGCAGCCTGTGATGACACCTGGTTCTGCTCACTATAGGAACCACTTCAGACATTAAATAAATAAATATAATAATAATATACTAAAAATTAATCAAACCAAGCCCTTCAAAACACTGAACCGAACCGAATAAGAGTTTAGCATACTGTTACACCCCTAGTATGGAGTACCTGGTGGGGGCACCACCTACCACTCATCCTATGGCCTCCAAAAAGCATTGGTACTCTAATAGGGGATTTCAATCGCCGGATCTGGTACAATCGTAGGGTTGAGCATCGAGCACCGAGCATCGATTGGAACGGGGACCAACTGTTTGTTTCTCCCGGACTCAGTTAAAGTTTTTTATTTTGATTCCTAGTATGCCGACCGGAAGAGGAATCGCGTGTAACCAGTGTGTTTTTTCTGTTTGTTAGACAAACCCCTCCTCCGTAACCAGGTTATTTGTGCAAAAGCCTGAAAAGGTCAAAATTCCTCAAAAGTATTTTTTCCTATTGGCTGATAAAAATGTATTGAATAGAACAGATGTATTA